AACCAGTCTAAGTCAATTTGTTCAGCAATTGTTGAGAAAAAAAGCCATTGTTAAAGCATATATGTGTGCAATCACTAATTTTGGCTTATATCAATTAATAACTGTTGCCAGCAATTAAATCTAATTCCCCNTGCTATTGCTATTGCTATTGACCTCAATTGTTGGTTGTACATCAAGGGGGCTCCTTGCATGGAATCGTATCAGAAACCGCCTGGCTGCCTCCATGGCGGGAGAGCCGAACTGGGAGCAACTGTTTCTTTTCTTCACACGCTTCCAGGCTTTGTCGTGGAATGAGCTGGTGGGTTGTGTTTAGCGTCAGTCCATAAATAAACCCCCTGGAGCCATCGGTGTCGGCTTTTGGCGGAGTTCAGAGTTCCCGTGGCTCCTTTAGAAAATGACTCATGCCAGCAGAGTCAGGTGACACCATTCCTGGGGACAGGACAATTGTCTTCGGACAAAGCATTGCACCAGCGTGGACTTGATTGCCGGATTTAAAATAGCTCTTCTGCTATTATGGGATGGGCCTCTCCCGTGTCGCACCTCGTCTTTCCAGGCATGGATTTCTGCCCGAGGAAAAGGCCAGGATGAGGCCCTTCCTTGTTCTAGGTATATATACCAGTAGCCGCCCTCTGACAACTATTTGTTCAATGATGGTTTGAAGTTACAACACCACTGGGGGGGGGGAATGTGACTGGACCTCACATTTGCGACTGTTGTAGCATCCCCATGCCCAGAAATCAACCACTGGCATGTACAGTCCTTGACTTACGACAGTTCATTTAGTGGCCATTGAAAGTTGCAACAGAACTGTGGGGAAAAGGGACTTGTGATCATTGTTTTTACAGCTACAACCTTTGTAGCATCCTTATATTCATGTAATCAAAAATTGGGATGCTTGGCAACTGGTTCACACTTATGGCCGTTGCCGGGTCCCTTTTGCGACCTCCTGACAAGCAAAGTCAATGGGGAAGTCAGAGTCACTAAACAATAGGGCTTTGATGGCGAATGTATGGCACGCATGCCACAGGTGGCACCCATGCCACAAGTGGCATGCAGAGCCCTCTCTGTGGGCATGCGAGCCGTCGCTCCAGGTCAGGTCTACCAAACATGCGCGCGCGCCTCCCACCAGCCAGCTGGTTTTCGGGTCTCTGCCATGAATGCATGGGGGTGGGTGCACAGGTATGGGGTTGCGTGAGCATGCGTGGGTGGTGGGGCGCATCTGGGGGTCATGCGTGCAGGGTTAGGGCATGTGGGAGCACAAGGGGGTCAGGGGTGCATGCAGGGGGGGGGGTACTTGTGCGCATTGCATTATGGGTGCGCGTGCTTTTGGTAGGCAACGCCAAAATTGGTTAGGCATCACTGCAATAGGGAGACTAACTTATCAACTGCAGTGATTCACTTAACAACGGTGGCAAGGAAGATCGTAACGTGGGCCAAAAACTCACTTGACAAATGTCTCACTGGTGGTCGTAAGTGGAGGATTACCTGTAGTCATGATGATTGCAATGTTCCAGGTTCGTGTGAAGGTCATTGACGGCCTTCTCTGCTGGCTTCCCACATGCAGAGAGTGTCAAAGGGGAGAAGGCGAAACTGTCTTAACCACTGCAGGATTCACTTAAGATCCATGGCAAAAGAGACATGTAAAATCAGGTGCAAGACGCTTAACAACTCCCTTGCTTAGCAATGGAAGTTCTGGCCCCCATTGTGGTCGTCAGGCGAGGACTTCCTGTACTGTACACGTGGATTGGATGGGGACGCAGGAGGAACTCGAGGAAGCGTTTAAAAGATGTCATATCGATGGTCGCAAAGCTACGATTAAAAGCCTGGCTGTTTTTTACACCCTCCCTTCCACACAAGGATATAATCCAAAAACGGCTTTTGTGCGGGCCACATGACCACGGAGAGGTCTTCGGACAGCGCTGGCTCTTGGGCTTTGAAACGGAGATGAGCACTGCCCCCTAGAGTCGGGAACAATGACTAGCACATATGTGCGAGGGGAACCTTTACCTTTTTACCTTATCCTTCCCTCGGATGCCAGACGGAAGTCCCAAGCCTTGCAATTCGCTGTTGCTTCATAATTTACAAACCGCACGAACCCCTCCCCTCTCAGGGTGGCGTAGGACATTGTGTGCATCTAACATTAGACAAACAAGCCACATATCTCTCCTTGACAGGGGAAATGACCAAAGCAGGAAGTTGTAGTACCAGTTTGTTTCCATATAATGAACTACCTTTGGCCAAGCTTCCTGATTGTATAAATAACCTTTGACTGCATTGAAACAGGATAGTTGCTCCACAGTTGGCTGAGATGATGAACTCATGACATGACACCATTGTCTTCTCTGTTTTTTAAACTTCTGATGGGGCTTCAGCAATTGGAGAGGGTAACAATGAAGGCCCTTTGGTACAGTTTTTAAAAAATCACTCTTCAATTTAGGTAAATAGCATCAATTCATTCCAGAATGCAGAGAAGAGCAGCAAAGATGATTAGAGGACTGGAGGCTAAAACTGATAAAGAACGGTTGCTGGATTTGGGTATGTCTAGTTTAATGAAAAGAAGGACCAGGGGTGACATGATAGCAACGTTCCAATATCACAGGGGCTGCCAAAGAAGAAAGTTGAAGTCCACACATCTTCAAGGTTGAGAAAACACTGCCTGACAGTAAGGTGCTAGTCCCTTTGATGGCAATGAAAGAAAGGAGACTGAAGGGATGGGAAGGGAATTATGTTCCATTTGGGTATCTCTACTTTAATGAAAGGAACAACTAGGGGAGACATGATAGCAGTGTTTGCAATATCTCAGAGGCTGCCACAAAAGAGAAGGAGTCAAGCTATTCTCCAAAGCACCTGAGGGCAAGACAAGAAGCAATGGGTAGAAACTAATCAAGGAGAGAAGCAACTTAGAACTGAGGAGAAATTTCCTGAGAGTTAGAACAATCAGTGGAACAGCTTGCCTCTGGAAGCTGTTGATGCTCCAACACTGGAAGTCTTTAGGACGAATTGGACCACCATTTATCTGAAATGGTATAAGGTTTCATGTTTAAGCAGGGGATTGGCCTAGAAGACCTCCAAGGGTCCCTTCCAACTATTCTTACTCTACCTCTCCTCTCCTCCATTCAATCCCCCAAAATGTTTGGAGAAGCTGGCACATGCTTTTAACAATGTCTCACCTACATTCTGAGAAACTTGGCAAAACGTAATGCTTATTTAAATTCTGGCACCCAGGCAGGGGTGAAATTCAGCAGGTTCTGACAAGTTCTGGAGAACCGGTAGCGGGAAATTTTGAGTGGTTTGGGGAACTGGCAAATACCACCTCTGGCTTTTGCCCCAAGAGTGGGGTGGGAATGGGGATTTTGCAGTAT